CCCTGGCTGCAGGATTAAAAAAAACTCAGTTCTTTGACAATCTCTAATGCAACCTAACAAGCAAAAATAATAAGAAACCCCTTGCGTATTGTGAATAATACCCTTCTATGGCTATTTACTTGTGGACAACATAGCAAAAAAATAAGTCCCATCAGCTCTGCAGGATACAACTTTGCTTGGTACTCAGATGGGTACAGTAGGATCTAGATGTTCTAGAGACATCTTATTTTTAAAGTGACACTAAACTCAGGAGTTAAATCGTAAAAATGCATTCAATAACTTAACTATGAACAAAACTGTAGCTTATTTGTGTATCACTCGGCTGTAGATCCTCAAATCATCTCTGAATTCATGCTGACACTGTCCTTCCTTCTGGAGGGTGGCTACTTTTGTTCCCCGTGGTCCTTGTGCACGTTGTATAGTAGCCAGAGCTCCAAGATTGCTCCCGTGATGGACTACAATCTCACGTTTAGTTTACTAATTTGTATTGAGAATGTAGTCCATCATGAGAGCAAGCTTGGAGCGGTGACTACATTATAACACACCCAGGAACCATGGGGGACAAAAGCAGCCACCCTGTAGAAAGAAGAACAGTGTCAGTATGAAATCAGAGATGATTTGAGCGGTGCACAAATAAGATACATTTTTGTTAATAGTTAAGGTACCTGAATGCATTTTTAAGATTGAATTCCTAAGTTTAGTGCCACTTTAAGGATCCAAACCTAACGTGACACATTTGGGCTTCCCATTCCCAGAGGGCCCACAAAGAGTGATGCTTATGTTTAGCCTAATGTGTGATATTAGCAGTGCATGTCATCTGTTAGTATGGAAGTCTGTAGACTATGCTGGATTAAAGCATTGTACCAAGCCCATAGTTACTAAAACATCCATATATAAAGTATAGAGCAGACCTTCTGCATGACTTCATAGGAATCCGTCTGGGAGCCCATTGCATGCATGCTTGCAATTCCTATTACTAATCCATCCAATACACATCTGCTCTAATTCCCAAGAAGTCATGCTCTGTAAAATTTGTTATATACATTTTATATTTCTTTGGAAATGTACAGGTTAAAATCACAAACCTAATAATCAATAGTACAGAAGGTATAATAATATGTTATCAATTACATGTTATGTCTTGATGCCAATGCACAGCATGCCAAGGCTGCGTGGATAACAATGAATGATGTATAAAATGTATATATTTTCCCCAGACAGGAGTTCTGTCTCCTTTAGGTAGTAACAAGACTCAGATGCCGCACATTGTGACAGGACATGGTTGTGATAGTGAAACTTTAATTGCACACATTTAATATACAGTTAATGTTCTGAAGTACTTAAAACATTGCAAAAAAAAAGGTAATAATGTGCAGTTACCTGAAGCAACTGATCAACTTTCAGCATGTTAGTCATACTACCGAAAGGTCATTTGTGTTAGCTTGCCACTGTGGGCAACATTTTTTTTAAATGAAATAAATATGAGGCACTAAATGAGAAGATGCCTTGAAATGAAAAAAAGCTTAATGGTCCATGGTCACAGATATGTAGCCTCTTCAAGCGTCTTGCAGAGTCACCACTACTGTCATCAGGGCCGGATTTCTAACAAGGCCAACTGAGGCCCAGCCTCGGGGCAGCAGGGAGTAGAGGGGCAGCAGGGGAGTGGAATTCCTATCGCCCGACGGCTGGGACAAGCAGCTCCGGGCAGCAGGTGGGTAGTTGTTTTCTACATTTAGCCCTGCTTTGGGCAAGCAGGGCTAAATGTACAGCGGGGAAGCCTCCGCTTGTTTTGTACAAGTGACCTTGGCGATGTTGCTGGGATCACTTGTATGCAGCCTGCATACAGGGGGGTGCATTGAGTAAATCCAGCCCTGATTGTCATACAGGCTTCTTAGGTCATGTTTTCTATATAACTATAAGCTGTAGGAGTTTAGGGACTTCTGATCTAGTAATGCCTAATGATACCTCATTTAGACTACAAAACACACGTTATAATCTGCCACTTAAACACAGCAGAACAGTAACTTTGTTTAAGGGCTCTGCTACATGGTTGATTCTTTAACTGCACTACTAAGTAACTGGTAATCCTCCATTATCCACCTCCAATGATAGTCCCTAATGACACAAGGCTACATCAGTTAGTGACTTCCACTGGCCCCTACAACCGAGTTAACAAGACACGTTACCAATTGATATTAAACTCACAGTCAGTTAAGATGACATAGCAGTTCTCAATTGTGCAGTATTGTTATCAGGACCAAATGTTTTAGCAAAGCTCGAATTTGGTGATCTCTAGCCACAGGAATTAAGGTATCAGGTGACAATTGTACTGTATATGGCACTTCAGACTACAGCAGAAGAAAGCCTTGGATGATCAGTTTGTAAAGGGAGGGGGGGTTAGTAGTTGCTGTCCATGTTTGATTCCAAAGATAAGGCTAAGCCATTTAATTCCTGCACGCACATTTTGCAGTGCAAATTGATTTGGCCTACAATATGGTTGCCTTGGGTATGCGTAGATGGCAAGTCCATTTTTGGATACATTTTCGGGTACAGGTAATGCTACTCTGTGAAAACTCTCACTCGTTTAAAAACTGTGCAATGAAACAAACACTAGATGCATCCTTCAGAAAGGCATTATATTAAAATGGATGAAAACTCACAAGTATGTGTGAGGGATTTTGGGCCCCCCTTCTATGTACGATGGAATAAACTAACTACAGAAAGAATAAGGCTCACTGGGATCTCATCATAAACAATGGCAAGCGTGCAGAGATTTGCTATATGGCAGAGATAACCTTACAAACATGAGCCTTAATCAATTCTGAATTTATCACTTTTGTTTTATTGCATTTATACGCTTTGTTCATTAAACAAAAATAGTGGTTGGGGCAGGATAATATTTGCTAGGGCTTTAAAAGCTCATTTGATGAACATTAAAGGTATTGCATATACTCGAGTTTCAAAAAAATTAATATTTTAAGCATTATATGCTTCCTCCAAAATGCTGCCTGTATTTTGATAAAATCATGCCCACTCTGAACTGTTCTCTATTAAGGTATATTTACTTTACCACAGTCCCAGATCTCTGATTACCAGCACTATAGCTTGGCCTCCAACTGACTTGGGGTTTAGTACTAGTTAGGCTTCCTTGGCATACAGTCTATTTGTCACAGGATTAGATCTTTAGACATTTTTTAAGTAGGTGTGTTTAAGTTATAGGTCCATTAATGATCCAACCCAGCAATCCATAAGAATGGTGCTCATCACCTAGCAGTAGCAAACTTTGATGTCACTCACTGCTAGTAAGTGACAATTGTTTGGTTGAAACGCTAATAATGGCTTCTTTCTACCAGCAGACATCGGCGAGGGGCATATTTTAAAATGTTTTAACAATAATGTCACAAAAGTACAAACATCTCATAGAGGTGCCCTGTAACGCAGCCAATATCTTTTAGCTCATGCAGAGGATTCTGTATTCCAGCAACTTGAAGATTGCTAATGGGAATTGTAATACATTATGTAATACAATGTCTGTTGCTAAAATGAGTTCCTCTACTGAGAGATGCCACTTATGTCAGTACTGCAGATAGGTTACCGACACACAAGTTGTATCCTGGAGAGGCTATATAGGAAACAATAAACTGCAGCAATCAATTGATCTTTGAGACATTGTGAACAAAGTAAGCTGTAATGCTTAATGGGTCTACAAATGCTCTCTCTCTCTCTATATATATATATACTCTGTATAGGTATAGAGTATTACAGTAAATGACAGCTGTATAGAAAATGGATGTGATCCAGTCATTCTTCCAAGCAGAAGGTGCTGAAGTGTACCATGGCAAAACAGGATAGGCACTAAAAATAGCAAAAGCACAAAATCCATTTTAAAACTTCCAAAGATTACTCTTAATGGACAAAATTGGATAATTATACGATGCCCATTTGTTACCTCAGATTACTTATTGCTTCTTCACAGAGCAATTACTACCAATATTATCTCTAATCACAACCACAAAGATATGTTTCAGTGCCCGTCAGTTGCAATTAGCAAAACACATTGTGCAGGTGATTATAAAAGGAGCAAAGGGTTTTGAATAGGATTCCAAAACAACTTCTGATATACTGTAGGAAGACCAATAAGATGTGTAGAATAGATGTCAGATGGAGCAGGCAATATGGCTTGAGGCCTGGGTACTTTGGGTACGAAAGGGGTTACCACCCTTAGAGGTCTGAGAACAAAACAGGTACAGCAAACAAAAATCCAACCAACAATACTGTATCAATTAAAGAAGAAATTAAAAAAAACTAAATACAAATATTTTTAGCAAGTCAGATATCTGCAAAGCATGAAGAAAACATCTTTAAAGGCAAACCTAAAGTATAAGTGTATTTAAGGAAACAAGGCAATGACAGATACTAGAAATTGTACATGGAAATGATGTCAGTACAGAGAACTCATTTTTTAAGCCATGCAGCCATTTTGAAGCTTCTAAAACAAAATGTCTTTTTTTCCCCCAAACTCCTTGACATCTGTGTGACCACAGGTGATGATGAGGTGACAGATCTGTAGCATGCATCACTCTTTGAAGAAAGTATACAGCTTGTGCCTCTGCTTGGACTTCTCTATACATTTTCTCCAGTGTACAATTATCAGTTTATTTTTTGCGGGCTAGGAACACAACTCCCACAATAACAGCAATAGCAGCAACAGCCACTCCTGCAGCCATCAGTAGTGGCTTAAGGCCCTCAAATCCTGAACCTTCTACAGCTCCACTGGATGAATCATTCTCTTCCCCATTGGCTTTGTTCTCTGGTTTACTTGGTGGCCCCTTAGGCTCGGGCACAGTGGGCTTTGAGTCTTCATGGCTGACTGGTGCAGTGTCTCCTGTGGTGGCCTTCTTAGGTGTTGGATTAGGATGGTCTTTGATAGATCCTTCTTTTTTATCTCCGCCAGTGGGTGGGTTGCCTTTGTCTGCTTTCTTGACGCTGGTAGATCTTGGCTTTGGCTCCATCTTGAAATCCTGCTACTTACAGCTTAGTAAGTTCACTTAGGCTTAGCACTAATATATTACTGTGTACACTAATGCATTCAGATCACTCTGTCGAACAAAATCTAAAAGAGAAAGAAAAAAATCATATATTCAAAACAAAATTAAAGGATGTTACCATCAAAACAAAAATATTTCCAGTGTTCTGGGTCCATCTGTGATCCCCTCATCTGGCCACTGTCAAATTTATACAGTAGACTGAATTATGTTCCCAGTTGATAAAGCGTATATGCATGTAAGCCTCTCTGTCAGATTTCACTAGCTAGGGACAGGTGAGGGACAAAGTCTGAATGTTCGCAATTAGGACCTGTTGAAATTAGAGACTACTCTGTAAATCCATATACCTTTCAACACACTGTGATTTACATTTCTTCAGGACACAGTAGTGATGTAGAGGTTGGTGGTAGAACCACAGCACATGCAGGAAGGGGACTAGATTGGCACTCTTGGAAGTTCCAGAAGAAGGTTTTTCTGCAATACAGCAGTGATTGGTGGCGTGGGCAGGAGGAGAGGAGAGCAGTGGCGTCACAAAGGGGGTGCGGCACGCACACCGGGTGGCACCAAAATCAGACAGTAATTTTGGTGTCACCCCTTCTAAAAAGTCGGGCACTCGATCGTGGACTGAGAGCCCGACAGTGTCAGGAGAGAGGACGGGACCCAGAGGCATACCTCATCCTATCGGGTGAACGTCCTCTCCTCTTTCTGCCGCGTCCATCACTAAGATGGCCGCCAGCAGGCAACAATTAGATGACCACGCATGCGCATTGGCGATGAAGTCACAGCGGGGTGTCACCCGGTCTCCACTCCGGGTGACACGCGGCCTTGGGACACCCCTGGAGGAGAGTAATCTATTAAATGTCTTCTTATGTGCTTTAACCATCAAAAGTGTTGGTATAGGTTTTATATGAAAGGCCACCCTCTTTGGTACGGTAAAATTCTAAATTTGCTCCTGAATCGAGAAGAAATGCATACAGAACACTGTTAGGAGGTTACAATATTGTTATAAAAATACATATGATCGTAAAATAATCACAAAATAAGTTTATTATTTATAGATATATGTCCATCTGTGTGCCATCAGATGTAAATGTTTTTACACTAGATCACACGATTTATAACATTTTGGATTGTGAGTTGTTACTAAAACCTTTTAAGCTGGGCATACACATCGATAAGCAATAGGGTTGATTTACTAAAGGAGCAGACCATGTTCACTTTGCAAAGAATGCTCAATCATGTGCAGCAGAGCTTCACCTAAGGGAAGTGAAAACTCACTTTCCAGAGTCAAAATGCTCTACTCCTTTAGTAAATGAATCCCAAGCAACTCATACAGGACTATTCACAAAAGGGTGAAGAGTTTGGAGAAGGCAGGAGAAGTGAACAATCTAGGAAAACATAGCTGAATTGGAAAGTGAGCTGAATTAGAGAACTTTTCACTTTCAATTGTTCACTTCTCCTGCCTTCTCCAAACTCTTCACCCTTTAGTGAATAGCCCTGTTAGATTAGATTGTTTCTTTTCAATTTATGTTATTGGTTTTGACAAAGAGTAAACGAGGACAGTAAAACACATAATCAGTAGTGCTAAGGTTCAGAATGAAATGGTGAACATCCTAACACTATACAGTAAGATCTATGTAACACAGAAAATTGAGGCTAAACAAGCAAGAAATATAGAAATCCAGATCACTCCCAGGAGGACACCAAGAGGAAATAAATAACAACTCCAAGTGTGCTGACCCCCAATGTCTACATCCCCGTGCATGCCACCTGAAACAGTCATTGATATGAGCATGATAAGCCAATCAAGCCAGAGAGAAGAGAGAAGAAGACACACACAAGAGAAAAATTCATATAGAAGAAAAAAATAAGAGAGATGATAGCTAAGTATTAAAAAGAGAAAAGGGGCAAACAGAAAAAAAAGAAGCAGGGGGGAGGTGGGGGGCTGCCAGGCCGGGACACATATATTGGATTGTTTCAAAGAATCTGTTTGAAAATTACTATTTGACATAACAAGGACAGAAATCAATTTGATTGGATTTCCTGTCAAGGCCAATTGTCCTTATCTGGTGAAAATGGATGCTTGCCGATCAAACTTACTGCAATCACATTCCTAAAGATATGACAGTTTTCTAGGAAAAATCATTACAAGAAAGTATTGTAGTATATGTATTGGTCTCTCCCCATCTTCTGTTCATAAGGTTGTGGTTTGTTCCTTGTTCTGTTTATTTAGCACAATAATTCCATTGATCCCACAGAGTTTGTGTATTTTGCCATATTCAGCGAGAATTTATATCTCCAAACATCAAGGACAAAGAGTCTTTGGTGCAATAGAGCAATACTATATACTTACTGGCACCTATACTAAGAACTGTTCTATGGGCCCAGAGTAGTATCTATACATTCTTCAGTGGACTTTACTATTCTATACAAAGAACTGGAAAGCCCACAGGAGCTCCCATCATTCTATAAATACCCACAGGCAAACCAATTGTTTTGGCCAAGGTCAAAGAAATAGCAGTGACAGTATTGCAAAGAAATAATCGCCATACTGTCAGCCAGACTTGGTCAGAATAGACAGTTAGATTTATAGCCCAGCCTTGGTTGACCAATCAAGGCCTGGTACAAAACCAAATGTCATCTATACCTATCATTTCTTTTCCAGTATGGGTGTACTATGGGAGATATAGAATATATAGGAAAGTTGTAGGACACAAAAGAAGAGGACTATGCTTTGCTCACAGACAATTCAGATATCCCCAAATTATAAACACCCAGTACTTAAATATCTTAATAAAGAAGGTCATACTGGATGCTCCAGACATTCATCCAAATGGCAGTAGTGGGCACTTGAAGGTCAACTTTGAATAGTAAATGCATAGGAAGGTTTCTAAGACATATCCCCATTCAAAAACTATAAATACACAATGTATTTCAACTTTATACTTTATATAATCATTTGTAGCATCCTTTTCTTCTACAGACATCCAAAAGAAATTTCAATCAATTAATTTTATGTGGCACTTTAACCAGAGTCCCAATACTTCCTTCTCTGTCTTCCCCGGGGCTCATCAAGTGCTTTTATTGTGTCTATTAATATATAATTTTGCCTAATGCCTCTAAGAGGAATTAACTCAAGGATGAGAAGAGCCCTTCCAATTCTGAAATTGGACAGTAGACAGTATATGGCTTTTCACTTTTTATGCTTTCTCCTTGGATACTAATAACAATCCTACTCAATACTTACATATATTATAAATAAAAACTGTGTGAAACACAAAACAAATTCCTACTTACTTGTTTCAGTGTTTAATACAGTAATCAGTATATCTCCAAACTACTATTCATTATCAACTGTCATTTAAATAACACTGACAAACTACAGTATATCTATCTATCTATATATAGGATGCTATTAATGAATCGGGTTTCATATATTACTTTCTACCTAGGCCAAATGTAGAAAGCACCTGATTGGTTGCAATGGACATCTGTGTCATTTTTGTGAATGTCCATTTGTCCTCTAGGTCTATGGCAGTGGTGGACAACTCCCGCCCTTCTGCTGTTATTGAACTACAAGTCCCATGAGGCATTGCAAGACTGACAGTTGCATGCATGACTCCCAGAGCCATGTTGGGATTTGTAGACAGCTGGAGTGCCAATGTTGCCCACCCCTGATATATGGCCTATTGCAATAACAGCCACTGCTTACTTGCAACATAGGCCTGGATGTAAGGCAATACGGCAGTTCTTTTACTGCTGGATGATAAAAGAGAAAGTTTTGGTCTATATTTAATAAGACCAAGCACTCATAAATGATCTTTCAAAGTCTGACTGCAGTAATTGTTACACAGATGATGCATAATTAGTAAAGATGTCTTACTGTGGATCATTGCTCTAGGTTAGTTCATGAATCTTTTGAATATTGAGTTATCAGAAGATAAATGTTTTTTGGATGAATAAAGAAACTGCATAAAGGAGGAGCCACAAACCTGTATACATTTATAAAAGGCAATAACATATAACTACTGGCATTGCCCCTCCATTCTCCTCCAAATTATAACCTAGATAACAACTGCTGGAGGGTTTACTTTCACAGCAGCAGTGCAAAACCTTCTCACGTTTCCCCCTTTTTTAGAGAAAAGTCACAGCAGCACTGCCGGTGCATAGTGATATCCGACTCATGTTACATTAACTGGGAATACGGAGGCTGACGTCATTATCTACAGATATGCCAGATGGGCCTTGCTTCTAAAATTGTAGGGATGTAAATGATCCAGCACACTTGGGGTTAATATTATGCAGCCATCTGTAAACCGCAGTTACAACAAAGTCACCTCTGCCAATGTCCTTCCCAGTACAATAGATGACTGCCAGGTCTGAGGATGCCTTTTGTGCAGGTCCTGGCTTCTTAAAGTGTTGATCATCAACAGTAGATTGATGACAAAGTGATATCGTTTTGTACGTCTGCTGCAGACGTTGATAAAAACGAACTGGTAAGAAATAGATTTCATTGCATTTGAGGGTATTAAATCTTAGGTTTCTTAGCACTGGTTGCAGCAATAATAATTATGCATGCAGCAATGCAGTCTTAGTATGCGAATAACATTTAGAATATCACATATCAGTCATTCATATTTATATGTTTATTAGGTCTTTGCATTTCATTAGATCTAGGGAGCTTAAGGCTCTTTGGTTTTTAAGTAGCAAATATTGTAACCTAACAGGTTCTTGTTCAATACCTGTTACAAATCACTTATTTCCTAAATCATCATCCATCATGGTGAAAAATGTCCATTGCCTGGCATGTATTGGCCTCCATTCACAAAACACATCGGGATAAGGACACATTAAAAAAAGTGACAGTTCTGCAATAAAGATCTCTATCCTTGTGTTAAAGCTTTGTGCATCGAGCCCATTGCAAGCAGCGTATCGGACAAACAATAGGCCATAATACAAGTAATTTGCAATAGTGGTGGGAATTCTGGAATAATCTGGAGCAGTTGCCCATGGCAACCAAACAGCATCTCCATTTTATTTTCAAAGCTTAACTGAACAAACTGAAAAAAACTGCTAATTGGTTACTATGGGCAACTGCTCCAGTTTTTATGAATTCCCCCAATGTGTCTAGCAGTAACATGCACAGAACTTTGCAGTGAGGTTTCCCCAGGCTGTTGTAGAACTAGAAGTCCCAGCAAGTCTTTTTAGCAGAGTAAGCGAATATGTTCAGCTTGCCAAAGAGAAGAACACTTTTGCAACAAACATGCATAGTTTTGTGTAAGCTGACCTAGAATAATACAGTCATGTAAACAGATAAGAATGTGTGCTGTGTAAAACATGATCTATAAAAAATGATGTATATGTGGATATGGTGTTGGTTTGAAATCTAGATTGCACAGGGCATAGTCAGATTTCCTGTAGTTCAATGAAGTATATTATCTTCTTTTAAGAGATATAATATATATTATACATTACCTCCCAGCTTCACCCACTGTGCAACGCAGAGGATGCTCTGCAGGACCCGACCTGGGAGTTTCCCACAATGCCTCACTCCCTGCTGCAGCAATGAGAGGGGGGTAGAGAGGAAGGGCTGTCCTATCACAAGCTAGAGAGATTTTGCGTTAGAACTGTACCATCATAGAAAACACATAGGAGTGAAGGGGGGGGGAGGCTTTCACTTGTCCTGAGCTGCCGTTAAGAGACTCTAGAATATTGTCATGCAGAGACGCAGCCTGCGCTATGTAAAGAAAGAAACATTCACCGGTGGGAAAACTAGGCGAGGAATTTATTCCACCTATTTCCCTGAAAGTGGACGTGACCTTGTCGATTTACAAGGGGAAGGAAAGCATGACTCAGGGCCGGTGATGTAGTTGACACGTCATTGTTCCCATGGGAACGGTTGCTTAGTGACAGAACTTACTAGGCCGTAATGGCTGATCTCCTGAGCTGTGCAGTCACGGCAGTCAGTGGGATGCTGGAAGTGTGGATTATAAGCACTTGTCATAGAAGGATGTTAGGAAGATAAACAGACGAAGAAGAAATGCAGACCGACCTTCTAAACCACGACAGCTGCTTCATTGTTCTGTAATGGTTTCCAGACCACCATGTTATGTTCTTATATGTTATACAAATAAAGTTTACCCTCTGTGGATAAAATATACATAGCTCATACACTGTGAAAATCACTTTTCTCCCTAGCGTCTTCCAGGTTCAAGGTCTTCCGCCATCTTGATTGGACGGGCCAAGATGATGGAAATCCTGCACTTGGGAGTTTATTCATTACCGCACCGAGATGTGCTGAGAATGTACACTGAGCTGTGCATGTGCTACATTCACTCTAAATTCTACAACAGGGGTGGGCAAACTCCGGAACTACAAATCCCATGAAGCATTGCATGATTTGCACAGCCACAGGCATGACTCCCAGAGGCAGATGCATCTTGAGATTTGTAGTTTCCCCACAGCTGGAGCGCCGAAGTTTGACCACCCCTGTTCTAAAGAATCTTGTGAGGAGGAAAGCGAGAAGCTTTATTGCAAAAGAGATATGGGGGGGAATGTATCAAAATTGAAGCAGAGAGAATTTGGAGCAGCAGGACGGAAAGGATGCCCAAAATCATTTAAAGAAGTAGAGGCACCCGAAGTAAGACCAATGGCATCTGAGTATTTCTTCAGTTAGGAGATTTTTATTGGACATGTATACACAGATATATATACACATAGATAATGTTCATATGTCTATGTATCATCCAATATAAATCTCCTAACTGAAGAAATACCCAGATGCCATTGGTCTTACCTTGGGTGCCTCTGCTACTTTAACTGTTTTGGGGCATACTTTCCTTCCTGCTGCTACAACATATCTGCCCCTCCCAGCTACAAAGCTTTGAACCCCCCGACGGGCATTGAATGTCACCCGACTAGATAGCCAATATACACCCAGACAAGCAACAAGTGCGACCTCTGCGTGGGGACAGACATATTCCCCGCACTCCTACGTCATCTGGCTGCGGAATATCCTTAACAGGACTTCCCTTAACTACCCCTATGTGAGCATTAGTCATCTATCCAACAAAAATCTACCTAAAATATATCTCACCATATCATCTAAACCAGGCCTTCTTAAACTTTCTCCACTCATGACCCCTTTTTGGCCAAGGAAATTCGGATGGTGTCTCTCCCCTCTTTCCCCCCCAGCGTCGGTCAGTGTCTCCCCCCTCCCCTAGTGTCGGTCAGTGTTTCTGCCATTACCAACTACTACTACTACCCCCTCCTTACCTTTAACTCCAGAAGCTGTGCTCCACTTCTGCTGGGTTAAAGAAAGCTCCGTCACTGAAAAGAAAAAAACGCACACATGCTCAGGCAGGTACCAAGTGCATAGGGGGAGCCCGCGACCTTAACAACTACACTACACTGCACATTAAACGAAAATAAAAAAATCTTGCCTGGAGCCCACGCCTCCCTGGCCGCCTGGGCTCCTCACACAAGTACTGGCCGTATCCCCCTAAAGGCGATCCTGGCCGGGCATTCAGAACGCGACCCTCCTGTTCACTTGTGCGACCCCATATGGGGTCGCGACCCGCGCTTTAGGCCCCATTCACATTGAGCGATTCGCAAATCGCGCGTTTGCCGCGCGATTTGCATTTTGTGCGTTTGTCGCGCGATATTGCGCAAATGCTTGCATTGAGCAAGCTAGAATCGAGACAAAATCCGCTCCAAAAAGGGATCTGCTGTAGTGACGCACGACCCGCGACAGCGACGGACAGAGCCCCATTGCCATGCATTGGAGAGCGATATCTCGCGGTAAATAGCCGCGATATCGCGGGAATTACCGCGCGATAAATCGCTCAGTGTGAATGGGGCCTAAAGAAGCCCTGTATCACGTACCTGGTGGGGAGCCGAGTTGTGAGGAGGCCTCCTTTGCAGCACGAGTTCCACACCCCTGAATGTGGAGACAGGAGGTGGGGAAACTACGGGCAGCACCGGTGCCGGATGATGCAGGACACTGGGCCTGGGCAGGTCCTTGAGGCCCGTCTTCAGTGAGGCAGGAAGCAGGTGCTGATGCGGCTGGAGCAGAGCGGAGTCAGGCAAGCCAGCAATAATCGGGCAGCAAGGTACAAAAGGAGAAGGCAAAGGAGAATCCAGGGACAAGCAGAAGTCAGAGGCAGGCGGCAATCAGGCAAGGTCAAGGAATCCGGTCGATGATGATATGGCAACAGGCAAGATACAGGAATACACACTAAAGCTGAAAGACCACTCAGCAAAGATCCTGGGAGTTGGGCCAGCTTAAATAGGATCATTCCCAGACAGAGCAAGTCACTTCCTGTGCGCCATGTGCCGTTTGCGCATGCACAGTAGCTGCTGTTTGCGCATGCGCAGTAGCTGCCGTTTGCGCATGCGCAGTAGCCGCTGCTTCCCGCAAATGTGGTGAACAGGCCTATGCGCATGCGCAGTCGTAACTTTGCCGTTAGGCATGGTCTTACACCCTGATCTAAACTACTACATTTAATCAGTTCTCTCCTGCAATGTTTGTCCTCATTTTTCTTCTCCCTTTTGTTGGAGTTATTTTCCTTCAAGAATCTATTGCCTCAGGCAACATCATTTTGGGTCATGTGGGTGGCCAGAGAGTCCCTGTTTGCTAAGAGGCAGACAGGGAGATGTGTTAGGGCCATACACGTCTCCTCTCCCAGCTCTTAGCAACCTGGGGCGCTCAGGCTGTGATGTCACTGGTTGCAAACAGCTTAGTGGGACGCTGTGGAGAGCATCCCGCCCAGGTCCTAGCAACCACCAGCAACCCCCCACAAACGTGACCAGCAGCACCCCCCCTCCTCAGGCGGTGATTATGCTAGGGACACCCCTGCTTGGGAATATGTAGACTTACACTATCTTGCCAAAAGTACTGGGACGCCTGCAGTGGCGTAACCAGAGTTATGGGCGCCTGGGGCAGAACATTCCCCCCCCCCCTTTATATAAACATCCACTGGAACTGTACCCCACCCCCACACATATATATCAGCT